GGGGTGAGCGGCGCGCTGGGCGAAGCGCTTCGCCGGTAAAGCTGTCCTTATCCCAGTGCCGCCGGCTCTCCTGCCGATTCCAGGTACGTTTTTGCGCGGCGGAGGGCTTTTCAGGCAGGGACCAGCCTGCCCCGAAGCGCCGGCCGCAGGCAGCGGTGTACGGCAAACTGGGATTCAGTCCCAGTCCTGGCATGCAGTTTTCTCCCTCGGGAAATTGTCTCCGCTTTTTGAGGTTACGAGAAATGATCGAAGTGTCTCTGGAAGACTACCGATGGAGCGCGTTTACGGTAGAGGCGGAATAACGTTGTGGGCTGTCGGTTTCAGCCGCAGGTTTCCCCAGCGCTCGGGAAGCCCGCCAGCCTGGTTCCTTTCCCGGTTTTCCCGGGGCCGTGCCTCCGCTCCCGGCGGAGCAGGGCGCGCCGAGCCGGCGCTGCGGAACGCCGGTGGGATTTCGCTAGCCGCTGGTGTTCGTTTTGGCCGTTCGCATTCGCGCGAAACCCGGCGTAAAGGAGATCTGGCACAGCTGTGTGGAAGGCAGGGGTTTTTCTGCAGAACGTTGTAAAGTTAGGATGCCAGCTGTTTTTCCCAAGAATCGGGTAAAAACTTCTTCCGAGCTAACAGAAAATAAAGTTTATTTTACAGTTTTTGGTAAGAGATTTTAGCGATCTGAAATAGTAAAGAAAAAAATAACTGCTAGAGCTGCCATTATTTCTTCTTTGTTGCAAAATGAGAATGGGCTGAATATTTGGGTGCTCCTGGGTGACTGGAAATAGTAAGAGAAAGAAAGATTAACGAGAGATTAAGACATGCTTAGAATTATGCAGAGGAAAGCAAGAGGCAAAGATCATTTTAACCGGTTGTTGGCTGCTGGACTTTGAGGAGAGAAATGAGGCCTTAAAGCTTGTATGGTTTTTCAAGTAGTCCTTTTTTAGTTTTCCTCTGTTGTGCCCTTGGTCGATGGCACATCTGATTACCGGTGATCTTGATGTTCTGCGTTCATCAGTAAAACCATGCAAAGGTGCTAAGGCTAATGAGGCCAGTTAAAAAATTTGGTGTAACTTGAAAAGTGGTACTTTATCTTTTGATAATTTTTTTAGACGGGCCTGTAACTACAAACACTTCAGGGTTTTTTTTTGTTGTTGTTTATAAAAAGTGGGTTTGGATGGCATTAAACTGCGAGTGTATAATATGGCGTGAATTTGGATTCCCCTGGGATTAATTTTTTGAGGTTTGAAAGTGATTTCTTCACTGAAGCAGTATTCTGAGAAACAAAATGTGCTGTATCGTCCTATCTCTGTGTTCATACACGGGTGATTAGCGTTTGCAAGTTCCCGAAGGTGAGCGTGCGCTATCAGGAGATGCTGATGCTGGTAAAATAGGGTGGGAAGCCAGACTCACAGTCTCGTTTGACTGCAGATGAGCTTTAAGAAAACACAAGTGTAACCACCTGTGCCTTTCGGGCACAAATGAAGACAGAACGGGAGGACGTAAGCCTTCACGGTTCTGGGATTTATGTCTGTTAACACCTGCCTCCCCCCTACCCCAGAAAAAGCTATGCTTCTTCCTGAACGTTCACGAAGGAGAGAGGTGACATGTTTGTTCCCACCATCCGTACCCCCAAGAACCCTATTCCTAGGGAAAAATAAGTTGTAAAAACATTCCTTATCAGCCATAGCAAAAGCTTATGACCAGTTTATATTTGGGAATGTGCAGAATCGGGTTGCGTTGCCTTCCTTGTAACGTTAAGTGCAGTTGTTTTGGGTTGAGGCAAAATACCGTAGAGAACTACCTAACCCCACTGTCAGATGACAGAAAAGGCCAAAGAATAAAAGCAGAATTGCTTGGAAATAAGAAACTAGGAAATCTTGTAATATTTTTCTATGTAAGACACAATTCTAGTGGGTTTTGTACATTAGCAGGTGAATTCAAGAGAATACTTTTCCTGAAAATATGGGAGAATTGAGTTCCATTAGGCCGTATATCACTTCTATGAACAAGGGGAAAATACAGTTTTGTGTGTGGGGTGTTGTGTGTTGGTGTTTTTTTTTTTTTTTTAAATCCAATATAGTGAGATCTGTGTACTTTTAACAAACCTTGTTTTTTCAAAACCTTTGAGGTGAGTTTAAAAAAAAAAAAGATTGGACAATGCATATTCTACTACTTTTGTGATGATCAGTTTTAAGTTAGACTAAGCATGATGTGACAACTTACTGGTTGTTAAAAATGGCCTTTTTAGTATTCACAAACTTCGCTTTTTTCAAGACACTTCTGTTGGATTGGAAGAAGTGAGGGAGTTCTGATTTCCCAGCATTATAAATTAGTTCCTTTGGCCTTGGTAAGTAGAAAAAAGAATCAACAGGGCCTCCTCTTCACAAAATAGGTGAAATACATGTTTTCCATTGATGCAGCCACAGGCGTTCCTTGGTGGGTATGTCCTCCCAGCTCACGTCAGCAGGAATGCCCTACTGTCGCCATTTGCTCGACTGTCTTCAGGTTTGAGTCGGCGACTACTGACGAGCGCTGTGCTCCGACTCTTCTGCGCTAGGACTGCACGGTGCTGAGCGCAGGCTTATGCCATGGCCTTGACCTGCATGCAGACGGGCGCGCATCCAGAAGGTCACTGCCCTTTTTGGCGATGCAGGAGTCGCTCTTACAAAGAGGACTCGTGGAGGAGACTGTCTTACGGAAGGCAGTGGTTATTTCTTCGGTGATGCTCTGGTTCCAGCTGTTTAAAGTTTTGGGTTTGTGGGATTATCTTCACACACAAATATCTTCGTCTGTTTGATCAGCGGGATTGGTGCAACGTGAGCGTGTAGTTATTTTTCAGTGTTAGTGTAATGTTGATAATGAGTGCGTTGGCATGGCCGGAGTGGCTGGGCAGCTGGTCCTGTGTCTCCGTGGGATGCCTGACGTCTGTGCTGGCGAGCCGCACGTTTGTCAAAGGTTCGTGGGGAAATCCTCTGGTACGTGGCTGCAGCTGCTAGGGCTGTGTTCTTCTGCGGATACTTGTCCCGTAGCTTTTCCCCTGGTCGTTGTGTCACTGCCTGACTTGCTCCAGCATTTTGTTCTTGTTCGAAGAGCTAGAAAACTGGTCCTGGGTGGTATCTGTCAAGTCGTCAATACCACTCAAGTACTTGTTACTTTTTAATTTCACTGGTATGTGGGCGAGCACCCACCATCTGAAAACAGAATAAATATAGTCAGGTTGGTCTGCTAATTAGCTGTGACGAGGCTGTGCAGCAGCTTGCAAGGGGATACCTGCCTATCACCCAGTGGGGCGGTCAGTGAAGGTTGGAGAGAGGGGTGACACCAGGTCTGACTGTCAAGGCAAGGAGAAACCTGTGAGGTTCGTGACCAAAGTCCTCTGATTTGTTTGTATCTGTTATTAGATGGGCTGTGCTTTGGGGGAAGAACGCGGAAAAAGAAATGAGAGGAGGACTTTGCATTTCTTCTGTGAGCTTCCAATACATTATAGCACCTGGGATTGTCTTCTGATATTTGGGTATTGAGTTTATGCCCATATTCTTTTAGGGTCTTTTTTTTTTTTTTTTTTTTTTAGTTGGCTTTACGTTTTTAGTGCTTTGTGCCAACACATTTATTCTTTTAGTCTTTTTTTTTTTTTTTTTTCTTTAGTTGGCTTTACGTTTTTA